ACAGCAAAATCAACAACAGCAAAATCAAGTAGTGGAGCAATCTAATGGTGAGGGATCATCAGCAAATATTGGGTTAGAGATTCCAGCGATAATATCAGTCCATGATGCTATTCCTATTTCCACTCCTCTTGCTATTGCGGAGACATTGATTGTAGATGATTATTCTACGGAAGTTGGTATAATACTACTTGATTTTGCTGTTGTTGATTCTGCTGTTGTTGATTCCGATGACGGCGAGCAGCCTCTCTATTTTTCATTTGTCGGGCACGTTTAGCCTCGGCAAGGTCTTCCACTGACTTGTACTTTGTTGGTCGACCACGTTTGCATTTGTCAGGAGCTGGAGCCATTATTGAAGGAATTTCCTCATATTCGATTCCATTATAATAGAGAAACAAGCTAAAAAAAGTGTATTTGATATAATTTGGTTGAGTTATGTAAAAAAAGCGATGAAGGAGGACTATCTTCGTTAACCGAAAGTTATACAGATAAATTATCCCTGATTCACAATTTTTTTTTTTTTTTTTAAATACTCATTACTCCTATTCAATCCCAGTGAGGGGACTATGAGGAGCCACCCGGAAACCCGGGTGGATTCAGGACAAGGCAAGTTAATCTGCCAGGTCCGCCGCGCGCAGAAAGCAGAAGACTAAATACAAACATTGGGTAAATCAGAATGTGTACATCAAAACTGTGTAACGGAAATGAGATAACTGTGTAGTGAAATTCGTTAAACGCAGACCTCCATGCCCCTGATTCACAAAAACTTTGGTCATGGTGGTGCAGGCTTAGAAAGCTCGAATTATATGAATCTAGTGCAGGCCTAGAAAGCTCAATATATTAGAACCTCGCTCATGCTGGCGCAGGCTTAAAAAGCTCAATATATAAGAATCTCGCTCATATTAGCACAGGCATAGAAAGCTCGAATTATAAGAACCTTACTCATATTGGCACAGGCCTAGAAAGCTCGGATTATAAGAAGCTCACTCATATTAGCACAGGCCTAGAAAGCTCGATATATACGAACCTCACTCATATTAGCACAGGCATAGAAAGCTCAAATCATAAGAACCTCACTCATGTTAGCACAGCTCGAATTATAAGAACCTCACTCATGTTAGTACAGGCCTAGAAAGCTCAATATATAAGAACCTCGGTTATATTAGTACAGGCCTAGAAAGCTCGAAGAAAACAGGGGCTCTACTCCCTCTAGTCTTATATTAGTAATGCGGCGAGAGAGTCTCACACTTTGCAGGAGATAGGAACAGAATAAGATATATTGACACAAATGTATTTGAATACGTGTATGTACACTATTGCTATACTATGATAGGATAGATTCGTATATGCTTCAGCCCAGGTGAGACTAAAACAAACCTGAACTCTCTCTGGCATAATTTAGGCTAGCAGATGAGTCAAATCATCTATGGAACAACAAACGGAAAAAAAGAAAAAAAAAGGCTCTACCTTAGAAATTCTCACGCCTGGATGCACGTCGGTTCTGCTCCTTCTGTGCGGCTTCTTGCTGCTCCTTCTCTCGGTATCTCTTGTTGGATGGTAGCTTCTCGATGCCAGTTGCGGGAGGCGCTTCGGGTTCTGCGTCTATGGCTGGGACTGGGTACTTTGTCTTCCAACCATCCCTATTGCTGGCAATAAAGTCAGTAGGCCTTTGCTCGCTTGCCCTAAACCACTTGAAATAGTTGTCCCCCCCGCCGCCGCCTCCAGCCTTGGGTTGATCAGCGCTGGTACCGGCAGTGTCTTCAGCGACGACTTCAGTGACGCCCGGTTGGGAATTAGGCCTCTTTGCAGTCGCCTGGTTCTTTACCCTGGGGGCATTGTTGATCTTGCGGTACTGAGAAGGGCCAGGGCCATCTCTTGGTGCACCAGCAGTCTGGACAGCATCCTTGGCCGCACGCTCGGAACCCTGGACATCATAGTCATAGTCGTCATCTTCAGATACAGGGCCCTGCTTACGGAACTTGGACCCGTTGGGTTTCGCTCCAGCTTGTTTACGGGATCTAGAGCCGTCGCTGCGGTCCTTTGGCCCACCCTGAGAGATAGTGGGAGAAATTTGTGGTTGCTTCTTAAGGGCAGGCCAGACGCGTTCTTCCTCATCACCATCATCCTGAGAAGGTTGAGGTACAACCTTAGGCCCTCCCAGCTTCTCGGCCTTCTTGTTTTGGAACTTTGACGGGCCGGGCGAGGGAAGCTTTGGATTTCCAGGCTTAGGCTTCTGCTTCTTTTCACCATTACCAGGCCTTGAGGTCTGGGGGCTCTGCTTGTTTGCGCCTTCATCCTCGTCTGGGGCCGGCGCTTGCTTCTTGGAAGAAGGTCGCTGCTGCTTGCCCTGGGGCTGCTTTTTCTCGGGTTGCTGCTTGGGAGGCTTGCCCTGGGGTTGCTTCTTCTCGGGTTGCTGCTTGGGAGGCTTGCCTGGGGCTTGGGGCCTCTCAGATGGCTGCTTGAGAGACGAGCCTTGAGGCTTCTTGCCACTCTTCTGACGGGCCGGGCGGACCTCGATTTCCTCTTCCTCTTCTTCATCCTCTTCTTCTTCATCTTGAATTGGCTGTCTTGGAGAAGGCCGTTTTGGGGCTGCAGGCTTCCGTTGTTGGGGCTGGTTTTGCTGGGGTGCCAGCTTATTCCTCTTTAATTCAAGTATGGAATCTGCCACCTTGCCATTGTTGCTGTTTCGGTAGATTTCTGGGGCAGGACTATTGTCTTTGACATTGATAGTGGGCTTTGGAGTAGGGGCTTTGGTCTTTTGCTGAGGAGCAGGGGCTTTGGACTTTTTCTGAGGAGTAGGGGCTTTGGTCTTTTGCCGAGGGGCAGGGGCTTTGGTCTTTTGCTGAGGAGCATTGGGGACTGTCTGAATTTTTAGAGCAGGCTCCTCATCCTCCTCCTCCTCTTCCACAGGGTCTTGGGGGCCTAGATTTTTCCTCATACGCTCGATCTTTGCCGGGTCCACAGTCTTGCCGCCACGGGGAAGAAGTCCCTGGTTCTCATGAGTATCAATGCTTGATCATGAGTCCATGAGATATAAAAACTTACATCACGTTTTGCGAGAGTATTGCTACTCTCGATGTCCCTGAAACATTTTGTAAGCAAATGACCTCAAAAAAGCGGAGGGATATAACAAACTTGAGGGGGAATGCAGAAGCAACAGCCAAGCCAACCAACACGGACCAAAGGGCAGCCTTGAAGTGGACCATCTTGGGCTGAACTGGTAATTGTCGTTGATATGCAAAAGAAAAAAGAAAAAAAAAAAAAAAACCTAAGGAGTGGATCGACAGCTCTATCAGGGACAGAGGGCCAAAAGGAAAGTAGCTTATGGGGGATATATATACCCACTGTATGGAAGTTCATCCTAGTGACATGGTGTTATATTGCTGTGTGAAAGCTCGCATCTCGGCCCGGAATTCGGCATCCCGTGCCACAGCTGAAGGTTTCCGGCTTTAAAGCTTGAGGTAAAATTGATGAAAGTCATGAGTGAAAGTCTAGTAGAATCGTATTGCTATCCAGAACCGGCTTGTGATATACGATGCATTCAGATACGAGACTATGCATTCAGTAGCTGCCTGAGTGAATTATAGTCATGGTAGTCTCGAATCAACCGGTGTGAACTCCGGTTAGGTGCAGTACATATGGTAGCCAACCAGACTAGATTCTTTGCTCTTCTTTGCTCTATATTTACTGTACATAGATGTCCGCGTTATGACTTATGACTATGACGTTCGGGCACCAATGCTTGGCGAGGTGTAGAGTTCATCCTGCCTGACCTTGTTAATGAGCACTCCACCAACGAGAGAACATGGCGGCCGACACAAATTCCTCACCCACACCGGACTCCCTCATCGATGCAGAAAAGGCCATCCAATATTGGAATGAAGTTCCAACCTCCTTAGCAGGAATAATGGGGGGATTCCCTCAGGTAAGTGCACAATCTCCCGATACTTTGGTTGTGTGATCGTGATGCTTTTTTGACGACGGAATTTGTAGATCAGCCGAATTGACATTCAATCCTCCACAAACCTTCTCACGAAACTTGGCTTCCGACGGGATCCTAAGGATACTCCGGTCCGGGGCGCCGATTGTGGTGCTGGGTATGTCAGCCACCTAATTGCACCAATATATGCTTCGGCTTCGGCTTCGGCTTCGGCGGCTCGGCTAACCTTCCACGTGGGTTAGAATCGGCCGGATAACCAAAGACCTTCTTTCCCACTTCTGCTCAACTGTCGACATCATCGAGCCAGTGGAAAAGTTCACAAACGCAATTACCTCCGGGAAAGACTTTGCATCATTAAGGGGCGCCGGGAAGATCGGGGATGTGTATAATGTCGGCCTAGAGCACTGGACGCCGAAGGAAGGTGCCTACGGGTTGGTTTGGAAGTACGTAACATTACAAAATCTAAATCCGGCACCCTCTCACCACATGCTAATCCCTTTCACAGCCAATGGTGTGTTGGTCATCTCCGAGACGCTGACCTAGTCGCCTACCTCCGCCGCTGTGCGGCAGGCATCTCTGCCCCCAACGGCTTTATCATCGTCAAAGAGAACATAGCATCTGGCGCAGAAGACATCTTCGACGACCAAGACAACAGCGTTACTCGCACAGAGGCGAAATTCAAGAAGCTATTCAAGGAGGCAGGGCTTGTGGTTGTAAAGGAGGAAATACAAAGAGGATTCCCGTCAAGCTTGGGACTGTTTAAGGTCAAGACTTTTGCGTTGAGGCCGGAGAGCTGGGTTGCGGGTGGGGGAAGCAAGTAAGGGGTCGTACAAATAGACTAGGGATGTTTACAAATCATATGTAGAACGCAACAATTCAGGGTAATGCATGAACTTCATTTTAAGATCATTAGGCTTTTACAAGTACCGGTAGCTCCTCTATAAACAGTTCCCGCAGTAATACACAGATCAGGGCTAGTACTTCACATTGCCTTCCTCTTCTATAAAGTGCCATCTGTCAATACAGAAAAAAATAAAGATATTATAGGAGGAAAAAGTAAGGTCGGTACTAGAAAGACTCGAACTTTCAACCTCCCGGTATGCGAGAACCCAACGTCGGGGCTTAACAGCCGGACGCGCTAACCAATTGCGCCATAGAACCAGGTCATTGAGTGGAAGGGGCAAAACCACTATCATGATCGCGATTGGTAGATCAGTTGACGTTACCCTGAATGTGGATAGGGTGGGGATCTGCGGTACTGGCGAGGTGGCCATTGGATCAAAAAAGTTATAGGTTAAATAACATTATGATATATATTGCACTATATATCAACCCATAACGCCCATTGCAATGCAATTATAAACCCAGTACACAGCTCTACAGAGCTTCTTCACTTCATCTTACGGACAACTCTGCCTTGCCCTCCCCCCCATGGCCACTCTCATCGCCTTTCTCAACTTTCAGAACCCTCCTCATTATGTCCCTCTTCCACTCCAGATACCCCATTTTCCTCTTCTCACTCAAATTATCCACTCTATCCTGCGACATCCTCCCGATCCCCGCTTCTCCACTATGATCTGAATTCCCCCCTACTCCCAGCCCCTCCGTTGCTCCGCGCCCCACCGGTATTAGCACTCTGCTGCCCCAGTTGTACTTCATCTGGATCAACCCATGGCTCGAATTCTGTCGCTTCATCACTAGGGGGAGATCATCTGATGGATGAGAAGGAGACCAGACCGGTACGGCGCCGAGCCAGGCTATGGCTTTTGTGTCTGCCATGAGGTTGTTGAGGGCTTCGTCGACGGGTCCATCGCGGGGGCTTTAGATGAGTCTTTCTTTGAAAAAGTCTTGGATTTAGCTGGAGTACTGAAATGGTAATGATACTGCCAGCCCGGTAGCACATCCCCAGTCTGAACTAACTTCTTCAAGGGTAATACACAAATTCCGCTGCCGGGTGTATACTTCCCCCTTGATTTCTTTCCCCGAGAGCTTCGACGCCGTGAGGATGTATATCGTGGAAAGGGTCGCCATTGTGTTGATTGTGTCTAGTGGGGTCGTGGGTCGTGGGGGATGATAGCTCAATGGCTTTTGAAGCGGCAAGGAAATGTTTGTACACGGTAACTGCTGGAAATGGTATTCCAGGCGGGTGCGAGGGTCTGGTGGGTGCATACCTGGACGACCAGGTCGGAGATTGGGTCTGAAGAGGAGCTGAGGGGGACTTGTTTTAACGTGGGGCCGCGCTGGGCGGTACGGGGGGTACGGGGGATACGGGGAGCTGCAGGAGGAGGCTTTTTGGTAAGGCTTTGTGGGCGGGGGGAGAGCGTTGGAGAATTTGGTGGGGAAGAGGTTGTGACGGCCGTTTGTTTACCTACCTGACAGTTGAAGGCATCTCGGGTCTCACAAGTTGAGCTTGCGCCAAGACTCAATGTCTTGGCGGGCGTACGATACCACGTTTCCTTTAGAGCGGTGAGCATCGCGGGTTCCGGAATTCAGTGCAGTGCAGCGAACGAAATTGCAATTGTCCATCGCAACACCGCCCCAGGAAGCTCAAAGAACCTATACTCTGTGGCTCTTCAGGATGCGGTGGGGAATAATAGCTACGGCGGTTGCCGGTTTGGCCGCGGTTGTTGCAGCTCAGGACGCTGGGGCGAGGCCGAAGTGGAATATCTCTGGGGCCAAACTGGTGACGGCAAAGAAGGGGGATACGTCTCCGAGTGTGTCGGAAGAGTATGTTATTCACAAACTTTCTCCCCGTTTGATACATGCGTGGTCCTCAGTTATCCGGAGATGACGAAGCTGGCTAACCATCGCTCTTGTCCCACAGATTCACCATTGACAAACCCGTTTCAACTCCAATAACTCTCTCTTCCGGGGAAGCCCTCCGATTGTCAATGACATTCAAAGCTGGTAATGAAGTCGGTGTTCCTCACCAAGCATACCTCTTTGTGCAACAAGCCGATACCGGCATCGAGACGTTCTTCCCCTTCGACGTCGCCCCAACAACCGCTAAGGCTAAGCTTGAAATCGTATGTCCCTCTCCTATGCCTCCTTCAGCCCTGTTTAAGATCCAGGGAACCAGCTAACCCCCTTCCAGACCCATAAGGACCTCCCCCCATCCTTCATTGTCTCCTCCTCCCCCCTAACACTTACCATGGCCATCGGCGACTTCACCGAAAACATCAAATCCATCTTCATCCCCGTCGCCCAAGTCCAGCTTAACTTTGACAGCATGACCGTCTCCGCTGCAAAGAGGTCTCTTGGAGAGTCTCCCGTCGTCTATGCACCCCTTCCCGAACTCCGACACACATTCCGTCCGGACCCAAAGAACCCGCCAAAGATCCTTACCCTTATTTTCCTCGGAGCTATAGGTGCGGCGTTGGTAGGGCTGTTTGGTGCTGTGAGTTATCCTACGTCTCGTATGTAAATGGGTGTTTGCTAATCACTGCTATCATTCCCAGTGGGCTACCCTCGGAGCAAATCTCTCCGCCCTGCCGAAAGCGCTTAGAGCAGCGCCATTGTCTCATCCGACTTTCCTTGCGAGTGTGCTGGGCCTGGAGGGGATCTTCGTGATGTACTACTTGAAGTGGAATTTGTTCCAGACTTTGACTGCGGCGATTATTGTTGGTCCAGTTGCGTTCTACAGCGGGAGTAGGACATTGAGAGAAGTTAGGGCAAGGAGACTTAATGGCGAGCGCTAAAGGGTATTTAGAAAGTGTCGTTGATACCCGAGGAGGATAGTATTTATATAGAAAGTGACGTTGATACCCGAGGAGTATGGACAGTGAGAAGGAAAGAAGAAAAATCAGTCCCTACAGTAGTGGAGCAGATAGCAGATAGCAAATTCTATTAGGTATTTCGGATAATTGTTTGTACGAAGTAATAGTTCATTATATTTGTGCATTCTTAGAACATATTTTGGAGGCCGTCAGAGTCATTACCCTTAACTATCGCCAGAATCCATTGGGCGGTGTCATGTTCACATTGCTCTTGCGCCCCCCCCCTCCCTTTCTTCCCTCTCCCCCCAAAAAAGGAAAATCGAAGCTGCTCTACAAAACCATAATGTATATATTCCCTTTAAAAAACAACAACAAAAAAAAAAAGGAAAACGAAAAGAAAATTCACTAACCCCATATAAATCCCGGGCCATCCTAACCCTATTGTCTCTGCGGGGTTGTTTTCACGAATTGATATCAATGGTCTGCTCTTCCAATTAAGCTGCAAAGCATCAAGCCTCTTGTCACTGTTGTACATGTTCACCACTGATCCCCGAGTGTGTTATAGTAGACTCTTGATATAAGAATATCGTTGGGCGGCAGGGTAATATTCTTATATCAAATATATTCTTATACCAAATGTGAGGGTAACCGCCAGCCTAATACATGGAGAAAGAAAATCAAAGCGACATAGTACTACCTAGGTAAGGTGCAGGAGAAAATAGAGGAACTAGATAAAAGAGGAACTAGGAACTTACATGTAAGATAACAGGCACAGACGTCTGCCAGGGGTACTACACAGACGTACATAGTAGTCTGGTTAAAAGTTAAGGAGGGGCTAGTGCAAGCCAGACTAGGTTTGAATTTGTGCGGGGTAATCTCTTATCGATAAGCCTTCCTATTCTGGCTAGTGTAGGCACTTTGCTTTAAGATGCATAATTCAAGCCTACGCTTAAATCCTTTACAAACGTGCTCTACGAAGAGGCCTATTTTGTATAAAACTTATCCTTTATCCGCTCCTTTAACTGCTGTAGTTCTTCAACAGTTGTATCGGCATCACTAGCACCAGCAATATAAGTCTTCTTCGTACAATAGAATAGGTCTGCCTTCATAGGCCCGATGCAAACTGAAGGAGGAGGATGGCGTGAGAATCTATGTGGTAGTGGGAGACGTTACAGATATTCTGCCGGAATAGCTACACACAATGCGAACTCTAAACATGCCTGAGGCCAATTTTCAAACCCAAGAGCCAACTTCACTTATTGAAGTGAAAAGAAGTTTTTTTCAATTCTGCTCGAGTCACGCGCCATAACCGCTCGGCCATCCTTCCTATTTTGATACTAATTTTGTTTTTTGAAACTATAGAACTGCCAGTGAATAGTAATTCTACGTAACAGCAACATACAATTGTTTAACCGCCTTAAGGACTACGATCCCATCTTCTTCTGCTTTCCAATAATATGTACCTGTAGTTTCTCACAAATAACAAATATACTACCTAATGGTTCGTTTTTTTGTCAGGATATCAGTATATTGCTTCCGAGTCCTACCCGTCCATTCATCTATCTATCTTTGCAATCTTACTCCAGCTCTATACCTGATTTTGGATTGAAGTAAGGCAGGCCCGGAGTCTCACCTACTCTCATGCATCTTCCCTAGAGCTCATACCCTTGCTCTACGGGGCCTAGATCCAATCCTTCCTACTTTCCATCTGCTGCATTCTTCTCCCTACTTACTCCCACCCCCACACGGCGTCAGCAACTCTTTTGCCTAAGCTCTTCCTCTCTAGATGGGCAGAAGAGCATTTCCCCCACTAGAGATAAGTCAAAACCCGTGCTCATTCGAAGACGAGTCAGCCACCAGCTGATCCTTCACCTTTACCACACCCACTCACCGATCCCAAGGCACTTGTACTCTACAGCCTCAAGAACGATGGCGTATATAGGGATCCGATGTTTCTCTGTTGTAGATGCTACAGGCCATTCGTGGCATCGGTGGTATTTATGTTAATATGGAGAGAGGTGGTAAAGGAAGTATACAACCTCCGCAAGGCTCTTCAAAGCTACAGCAAGTGGTGGATCTCGCTGGCTGATTTCCAGTAAGAATTGGAATGCTACTGGTGGCCATAAAAATTGAAGAAGCATCTCTTATTGACGTATTTTTTTCCAAAATTGGATTCATATTCTGGACCGTTTTCTCCCCATCCTGAAAGAGCTTTCGTCTGCCCAACCTCTTGACTTGCTGACAGTACCATCAGACGATCTGAGCCGGAATGTAAGCTAACGGTGTTGGATAGTATGCCGGCTGCCTAGCAGCCCACTCGCAGAAACTCGTTCCATTTGTTTGTACAGGCCTCCTCACCCTTTCCATCTGGGGTGGGATTATCTGTAATCTGGTTATCGTGCCAAGCTCATCATCGCCTAGTTGTGAGTTTCCCATTTTGAACGT